CAACTCCATTCAAAAACAGAGAGAGAGGAAAAGAGTGTTCAACTCTTATGCATAGAGTCCTAAGAGTATTTTTTTATGGAGCCTAATTTATGAACTTATAATTGAATAGTGGGCTTCATGTTTTAATTATGATTTTGAAAAGGCCCTAGCAGTAGACTAGCTCTGACAGTTTGGTTGACATGGTGTGGGCTTAAGAGAACAGATATTTATACTAGTACAGGCTGTGTCAATCACCCAGTGCATGCCATTTCAATGGCCTGTTCCAATCAGGGACAGCATTCAAAAGTATAGCAATTAGAATAAGGAGATGAAAAGCTCTGGGGACACTAGGATGGAAGTCAGCAGCCAGATGAGCCTTCAGAGAGAGCACACAATGTCACCTTCATAACAGGCTATTTTAATACTGACAAGGCAAACTGTAGTCCTTTAAAATGGGGCCACATAGCTTACTGAAATGGAGAAGAAAGAGCTAATTTAACAAAAATCAAGGGGGTCACATATTTCCCAAGGAATTTTGGGATTCAACTCTAATTTCACTATTATTTATGACAATAACTTCTTAACTTGAATTGAACTGCTCAGTAATACATACATGACATTATTTGATCTTATAACATAATAACTGCTGGATGCTGAGGGTAGAAAAGCTCAACCCATTCATATATTCTGCAGGCATTAATTAGACTCATTGCTGTCCCTTTTTTTGCCAGCATTTAGTGAAGAAAGTAGTTAAGAAAAAGGTCATAGCTGAAACCGGTTTGGCTCAGTGGATACAGTGTCGGCATTGCGGACTGAAAGATCCCAGGTTCGATTCCGGTCAAGGGCATGTACCTTGGTTGGGGGCACATCCCCAGTAGGGGATGTGCAAGAGGCAGCTGGTCCATGTTTCTCATCGATGTTTCTAACTCTCTATCCCTCACTCTTCCTTTCTGTAAAAAAAAAAAAAAAAAAAAAAAAAAAAAAAAAAAAAAAAAAAAAAAAAAAAAAAAAAAAAAAAAAAAAAAATCGATAAAATATATTTTTAAAAAAAGAAAAAGGTCATAGTTTAAAAGTGTCATATTTATAGTCAGAACATATATGTATACTATAATAGTATATCTTGATTACATTTATTCTAGATTTGAAATCTTGAACAAGATTCCAAATCTCAGATCGTTTACTAAAAGTGCAACAATAACAAAGGGTCATTGTCCAAATCATTTGATGTCAGGCATATCAATCTATATAAAAGCCTAAGTGACCATCCCAACTGAAAGGACAACCAAACAGGCTGCGTGGGGCCACCAGGCTGGCAGGGGGGTTGGATTCAGCTGCAGTGTAGGCATAAACCTGGGGTAGCAGAAACTGCCCACACTCCATGTCCACACCCCCAGCCCTGGCCTGGGGTGTGAACATGACAGAAAACCTCCCTGGCCGCTACCCTGAACTCCCCCCCCCCTCCCCCCAGCAGTGACCTCACAGCCTGATGACAGAGCCCAACAGTCCTGGAACCCGTAGCCAGGCAGCCGTGTTCTGAAGCAGCCCCTGTGCCCTGCCAGAGACAGCCTCGCCAGCATGCTGTGCTGTGTGCCGCTGCCCCGCCGCAGGGAAGGGCCCAGAGCCCACAGGGAAGGCTTCTTCCTCCGCTGCCTTAGCTGCCTCCGCACTCAGCCCCGCACTCAGCCCCGCACCCAGCCCCGCACCCAGCCCCGCACCCAGCCCCGACGCCCCTGGTTCTGGCACTTTGCTCGGACAAACCCAGAGGTAACACAGGGAGGCCCAGGGCGGGTTTCTCAGAGCCAGCCCATCACCGTCATGGCCCTCCCCAGCCCCATGTCCCCTCCACTTGTGTGTGTGTGTGTGTGTGTGTGTGTGTGTGTGTGTGTGTGTGTGTGTGTGTTTGATGGTAGGGGATTAGGTGGTTGATTGTGGAGGGCCTGGCCTGAGCAGGTGCAGGCTGAGGTTGTGGGGTCAGAAGCCTGTGGGTCTGTCATGCTCACCCCCAGGTCAAGGCTATAGGTGGACACGGAGTGTGGGCACCTCCCTCTGCCCGAGGTTTAGGCTGATCCTGGAGGGGCACCTCCTTCCCCCTATTCCACCCCTCCCCGGGTGGAGGTCTGTGCAGACTCAGGGCTGGGCCTGATCCCAGAGCAGCAGGGACCAGGGCCTGGCGGGCGGGAGGCATCCGCACTGGCTGATGGTCACTGTCCTTGCAGCGCCCAACCCAGATGATGGAGGAGCAGCAGATGCTGGACGGAGACCCCCGCCCCATGGGAACGAATGAGGGCCAGAGCAGGCCTACAGAGCGTGCAGCCAGCTGGGAGCCAGGGGAACCAGGGCCTGTGGATGGCAGGACAAGGTCTCCTCCCAGGAAGCGGTCCAGGGCCCACGCTCTTCCCCACCCAAAGCCACTCAGGTTCCACCGCCAGTTGCTCACTCCCCGCCTGGATCACAGTGGCCACCTCCAAACAGCCAGGCCCAGGGACCTGGAGCGCAGGGCGGATGAGCCCATGGGTGAGATGTTGGAGGGAGTATGGATGGGTGGGGAGTGGAGGTGATGTGAGCTGATGGACAGGGGTCAGTGCCATCTCACAGGGAGCTCCCAGAGGCCAGAGGAAAATAAAGACTGGCCTCAGACCACCCATCTGCTGGCAGCCTGTTGGGGGGATGTCCTGGGCTGAGGATGTGCTCTGTCCTTGGGGGGGCACCTGGAAATACCAGCTCATGTGTGATCTGTTCTCTCACACCTGCAACACCAGCCCAGGAGGCAGAGCGAGCTGCTGCTGCTGTACCAGGAGCCAAACATGATAAGGGGTGCCAGATGGACACTGATCTGTTTGCACCTCCATCCCCAGAGGTCATGTCACCTTGGAAACCTGCTCCAGCTGCTCCTCTGAAGCCTCCTTTGTCCCAGACAGCATATCCTACTTTAAAGAAGATCTTAGCATACTTGTCCTGGTTATTTACTCCCCCATGCGAACCAGAGTTAGTGATACCCTTCTACCTAATTATCTTTTCGCTTGTTGTAGGTATCATGTTATTATGTTACGCAGTGTATGATGTATTTTTTGTTACATTCTAAATAAAATATTATTTTATATTTTAAATTTTGCCATTCCAGAGCATGAAATATATTTATGATGTGGTGCAACGAACATCACTATCTAGAAAGTTCCAATAGGAAACCCTGCCCTAAAGTCCTTGCTTCCAACCCTCCTGCCATGACAATCCCTGCTCTGTTCTCTGCCTCTGCTCCTTTACTGATTCTGGACGTTTCCCTAAATGGTATCTTATAATCGGTAAGATTACACACACACACACAGACACACACAGTCATACACACAGAGAGACACACTCACACACACATACACACAAAAACACACATATCTTTTAAATCTGAAATAGCAGTTTTGTTACATGAACTGGCAACCCAAGATTTATTAAGCCTCTCCTGGAACATCAGGATTTCTGCTTTTTATTCCAAAACTAGAGGCCTGGTGCCCATATTCCTGCATCGGAGGGATCTGGCCCGGCTTCCACAATCAGAGCCAGTCTGCCTGGCTGTGGGGGAGGGAATGAGGGATTTTGGTGCGCTGGCCCAGTTCCCTGGTCGAATGCCTAGTCAAACTCCCAGTTTAGGAGACAATTTATGTATTAGCCTTTTATAATATAGGAATATGCTAAATGGAATGTCTATGTCCATAAACCTATACTTAGGACATGGGCCTAAAGTGGAGAGCACCAGAGCCAGGGGAAAGATTTCACAGAACATCTGGCTGTGAAAATCAGCCAGGACTTCAGCCACTGGGTAAGAGGGGCATCTACTAGAACCACAGGTAACTGCAGTCTTAAGTGGCCAGCACACAGAATCCCCCATGTGGTCACTCACTCTGGGCTCTGCTGGGGCAAATGTAGCTCATAGCAGACTGTAGTCAAAGAGGAAGAGACTGGGTTGAACGGCTTTAGGGTGAAAACTGGACGGAGAGATGGCAAAGTTACTTCATGTGCTGAGTCCATCTCTCACACCACCCACAGACCACATCATACATGGATTGAGCACTCTTCTCCAAAAAGCATCAGCCTGGGTGAATATATTAGCCTCGCCCTCCCGACTTCCTGTGACCCAACCCTGCAGAGCTCGCACTCTGAAGAGGTGTCTCTGGGCTGGGACCACACAGCGCTTGAAAGGCAGTCCATCTTGGAAAGCTCTCGAGGATTTTCAGGCTGACTCCGGGTGGCGAAGGCACACAGGGAGAGACTGAGTTGTGTGGCTCTGGTCTGTGAGCAGTTTTTCCCTTACAAACCAGACCAGTGCAGCCATTTCTGTGAAGAGCCTTCTCTCCTCAGGTCCACATATTAGTCTGTTTCAACCTGATAACCCCTTCTGGCCTTACCCTGAGGACCTACTGAGCCCTTCCCCTACCACAAGTTCAGCAGGCCCTAGGCAGGTGGCAGCTGCCTTTGGTGCAGCCTGAGATATTTGCAGAGTAGCCCCGGATACAGTGCTGGTGCACAGTTTGAATCTGTGAACACCACGGCTAAATATCACTGGCCCCTACAGGGTTCTACCTCCCATAACTCACATACCACCAGGGGCTCTTCCAGAGACTGGGTCTTACAGGCAGAAAGAATGTGGAATGGATCTCAGGGTCCCCAGGCCTTTTGCTGGCCTGCCCCCGTGCTCAGTTAAGGACGGAACCTGAGCTGAGTATGCAGCTTGGATCTTCTCATATGACACAGGCCCAAGAAGGCAACCTCAAATGTTGGGTTGCTTTGGAGCTCTAAAGAGTTAGCCCTGGGCCAGTTAAAGACAGCATCTGACATTGAACTACACTGGAGTCTCTCGCAAAGGACCCTGAGCCCACACACGTGATGGTGGTTTTCACACCATTTCAGAGCTTGATCTAAGTAGCTCTGCAAGCAGCACACACAAAAAGAGAGCTTGTCCGGTACCAGACAATGCTAGATGAACTCTGCTTCATGATGTCAGCCCTTATCAGAAACTCTTACTATGGGATTAGGGTCTGTGGGAACCATGCCAGGCCCCTGGATAGTCAAGGCCAGTGGGAGCACAGAGGCCATGGTATCAATATGCCAGAATGGCCAAAGGCTGCTCTGGGCATGTGCCTAAATGGGATATTCAAGGACTCAAATCCTGGGAATCCCAACTGGGCCAACATCAGGTACAAGGACACAAGATACACTATGCCCTTCAGTAGCCAATATGATTGCTATAACTATTGGTACAAAGCCTTCTTTGTCTACCGTATTTTCTGGCGTATAAGATGACCCCCTAATTTTACAGTTAAAACATAGGTCTATGCCTATATTCGCTGTATAAGACTACCCCCCACTTCTGAGGCAACACCAGTTCTTTTTTTTTAATAGACAGCCTCTCTGACTCTGGCCAATCTGAGCAGGCTTTTTACTAGAACACAGTGTAGCTTAGGGTTCAGAACATGTAAACTGTGTTCTAGTAAAAAGCTTGCTCAGAATGGCCAGAGTCAGAGAGGCGGTTTATTAAAAAAAAAACACAAAAAAAAACTGGTGTTGCCTCGGAAGTGAGGGGTAGTCTTATACAGCGAATATAGGCCTAAACCTATGATTTAACTGTAAAATTAGGGGGTCGTTTTATATGCCGAAAATACGGTATTTGTTTTTGCTTTTTCTTTCCTCTTGCCTTAAGGATGTCTTTGAAGTCCAATTTTCTAGTTTGGCTCTCATATCCTGCTTATTCTCTAGGCTAAAGGGTTAGTAAAAGTTAGTAAACAAAAATCCGGGCCATTGAAACTTATTTCTTTGGAAAATTTCTAGGGTTTAGACAGATTCTATAACAATGTTATTTTTTGTATTACATTTTGAGCAATATTCTGAAATTTCAACTTGGTACCATAGTTCCTTAAACACATTTTAATTCCCCACTTAAAAAATATTTTTATATAGAGTGTCATACATAGAATTTCTTTAGGCAATCTCAAAGGACCCAGTTTACCTAGTCTAGACACAAGAATATATTCACCAAAGTGCCAATACAGATAGAAAATATCTGACAGGTTTTTTAATTTGCAAATTATAAGAAAAACAATTATTTTGAATGACTAAAATTACATGTTGCCATGAGAAGTATACCCTTTGTTGGATGATTCACACACAGGTGTCTTTGTGAGATTGGATTAAAATTTACCAACTCTGCTTAATCGTTTCTAAAAGGAAGAGATATCCCTATTGTCTGCATGTGAGTTGCTATGCTTCCAAGTAAGAGGAGGGTGCTTCCCCATCTCCTTTGCAGGACTGGCCATGCCGCTTTGAGGTGGATGATGGGCACTCGTCATGTATGCCATACCCAAACAGAAAGGTTACATGTGCTTCCTTTTTGTTTGTTTCTGTCTGTTTTGGGGGTGGGGGGTGTTTGTTTGTTGTGTTGTTGTTTTTCGGTCCTACATTTTTGCCCTAGGCCATGAGAACAATATATTCCAGATCTAAATTACTCTGACTTACTGGGTTTAAGATCAAGAAGATATAGAATAGAGATGGCCATAACTAAAATGAGCCAATCAGCAGACTTGATAACAACAAAAATTATTCACTGAAATAGAGAGGTTATGTCTTAGCATAACTAAGCTGTCTAATATTGTATGTATGTGTATGGACATTCATGCTTTCTCAGGTAAAGTCCTTTAGTAATGAGGGAATTCTTATACTCTCCAGATAAAATTAACTCCCCTTTAAATATCAGGAAATACATACTCAATAGCACTTTCTGTAACTTAAGTCTATTTTTAATTGTAAATATTTTGGGAGTTTCCTATGCTTCTAATAAATTCCCAGACTGTGAAATTCCATGATTTGTTGTTCAGGGTATCTCTCTATTTGTGTGCTTCTCTAACGTTCCATTATTTGTCTGTTTTTAATGTTCTATAAAGTATTTCACTCTCATAGGAGAGGTTTTATACCACTCTGGCTCTTGTGTGGAGGGATGGTTTTCTTGGTTAAGTGTGATATAAAAATCAACCTTTGTGAAAGTCATTTCAGCAAAATAAAGATTCTCAAAATAAAGGTTTCAGCCTTGCAGTATATTTAACTGTCATAAATCAGCCTAATTGTGAACCTCTGTATTATTAAAATATAAGTTCACCAACAATTTTATATAATAAAGACATAACTTGCAAATTTATTAATACTAATGAATAGCTCCCCCTTATACAGATAGAGGAAACCAGGAATGCATTGGTTAATTATTTCATTCACTCAGTTAGGTAGACATGTATACAGTTCTGATTACTAAATATTTAGAATTTTGGTTACTAAATCTTAGACATGTATACATTAAGGATACCATTTGTCCATTACATTGGATACCAAAAAACTCCAAGTCATTTTAATACTTGTAGAGGGGTTGCTATTAACCTTGTAGCTTTAAACTTACTCTCCAAACCAAATGTCTCCAAGATTATTTATTACCAGGTTTTTAAAAACAATGCTTTAAAACATGCCGTTTGCTCAAAAATGACTTCTTTCAGTTACAATCTGTCTTAATGAGGATCAATTTTTATACCCTACATGCATGTCTCATGAAATATCTATAGATTGTCTTTTTAGCCTGTTAAATAAGACGGACAAAAAAAAATATATCCAGACAAATGATTGAACACAATAAGTCCCAAACAACAGTTCCTTTTCCCCATACCATTTCTTTCAAATTCAGGATCTTACCTTAAAGTTTAAATATTTTCACTGAAAAAAAATACACACACAAACACACACACACACGTACACAAACAAAATAAACACCTTCACCCACTGTTTATTAATCAATAACTTCAAAACAAGTCAATTCATACCACCCATAAACATAGTAAAATCTAGGTATTTAAGCAGACTAAACAATCACACAAACCTCCCTTGAAACTGGAAACTCTGTTAGTTTGTTGCTTTACACTTTTTCCATAAAATGTGTTTTGAGAACCATCAACAACAGCAACATGTACTAGTATTTCTCACTTCAGCACATCTGGTACAGAGAATCTTACATGTCTGAGTATTGGTGAACAAATGTGGATTGTGCTTGTCTCTCGTGACATGAAAGACTCATGAAACCATACCTTGGAACTCCTTACTAATACTGCTCATTCTTGCTTTTGACCCCCCACCCCCCACCCAAAATGTTTACTTCTTCCTGCTTAATGTTACTTGAGTTGCCGAGTATGCTTTTCCCCTGGTCCTCATATCACTTACTGTCCCCAGGTGCCAAAGATAGTTTCAGACTTCAACTTCTATTTGGAAAATAATCGATATATCAACTAGGAATACCACTGTCCTCATCTTTTATTAATTGCTACCCCTCTGATTTAGGTGCGTAGGCCCTTCCTCCACTTGAGCCAGTGATACCGATGCTCTGATGCCTCAGGGTTCTCACACGGAGGCTTCCACATTACAGCAACATACTCAACCGGGAATCAGACCCAGTTAGTGCAAGTGTTTGTAAGCACTGAACCAGGTAAGTCTTCTGCACCTTCCAGCTTTCATTTTCTCTTTTCTTTCTCAGCACCTCTTTGTGGCAAAGAATATTTAGGAGCTTTTTAAAACAAACAAACAAACAAACAATCAAACAAACAAAACAATACAACTTGATGTACTGAAGAATGACAATTTCATCTGATGTCCCAAAAAGTTTCTAAGAAAAGAAAAACATCAAGGTTTCAGCCTTGCAGTATATTTAACTGTCATAAATCAGCCTAATTGTGAATCTCCGGGTGTGTGCTCTAGAGCCTCAAATAGCTGGCACAGTGGCTTCCTACTTAAAATTCCTGACATCAGACTCGGGTGCTTTGAGTTTGGCTGAACATGAGAAATCTCCTTCTGTGGATGAACTAATTGGAATATTGGTTCTATGAGAGAAATCATCCCTCCAAATATCTTTATGAGGAAATTAGTATCTTGGATATAATTTCAACTCCCAAAAGGGAACAACATCTTTTGATAAATGAAATAAACTGCTTCCCCATTTTTGTTAAAAATAGCTCAATATTCTGCTTTGATTGTTTTGTCAAGTGCTACTGTTAAAAGAATTTTCATCATCATAATCTATGAACCAGTGCACACAATAGAAGAGTATTGAGACGGTAAATAGGGAAGTTCTTGTTTGTTTTTTAAGTATATTTTATTGATTTTTTTACAGAGAGGAAAGGAGAGGGATAGAGAGTTAGAAACCTCGATTAACTGCCTCTTGCACACCCCCTACTGGGGATATATTCGCAACCAAGGTACATGCCCTTGACTGGAATTGAATCTGGGACCTTTCAGTCCACAGGCTGACGCTCTATCCACAGAGCCAAACCAGTTTCGGATGAAGTTTATGTTTTTTAAATATACATTTTACTTATTTAGAAAAAAAAAAGTTTATTTTTGAAAAATATAAAAAAAAATAGTAACAGAACCTCTGTATTATTAAAATATAAGTTCACCAACAATTTTATAAAATAAAGACATAACTTGCAAATTGACCCTTGCGCCATCACAATATGGCCATCCCACATCATCACAAGGTGGCTGCCCTTACATTGTCACAGATAGCTGCCACAAGATGGCTGCCCCCACATTGTCACAAGATGGTTGGCAGGGGAGGGCAGTTGAAGGTGACCAGGCCTGCAGGGGAGGGAAGTTGGAGGCAATTGGGCCACCAAGGGAGCAGTTAGGTGTCAATCAGGCTGGCAGGGAGTGGTTAGTGGATCAGGCTGGCAGGCAGGTGGTTGCCAGCAGTCCCAGATTGTGAAAGGGACAGGCCTAAACCAACAGTCAGGCATCCCTAGGGGTCAGGGTGCAGGATGGGCTGAGGGACACTCCTCCACCCCCAGCCCCAGCGCACAAATTTCATGCACTGGGCCTCTAGTTATATCATAAAGTTCTTTCTTTTTCTGTTGATTCGATCTACATATATATCTAGTCACAAGGTGGAGGTTAGCAACATCGCCTCCACAAGTACAGTTCAACTTACGTTCTTTATCTTTCCACCAGCCTTGCCTCAACTTTGTCCCAGTGTAACAGAGGAAATGTTTGCAATTTGTGCTCCCTATCTATTATAAACCATCACATTCTTTATTACAAAGCGAAATGTACTTTCTTTTGTCTTTCAGAGGGAATAGAATTTTTC